CAGCTGACACTGCCCTCAACTGGCACGCCAAAGCACAACACCTAGACCCCCACCGAAACTCCAAGTTACCCTGATGGCTTGCAGCCAGTCCACCCTCCCTCCTCAACAAAAGAAGAAAGAGGGCTAAGCCTTAAGCCCTATAAGTACTAAGCCCACACTTCCCTAAACCCTCAATCTGACACACCCTCAAGCCCCAACGCCACCGTCGGTCTTAATGAGGCTCACATGTCGAAAGCGCTGTGTGGAATACCAAATCAGTGACAGCCGACATTCGGTCTTGGAGTCCTTCGGGAGTTTCAATTCTACGACCGAGGACTCGAATTACGATGAGACTTACCCATAGGCCCCTAAGTAGTTCCTTTTTATGGCTTATAGTTTTCGGAGTTGGGGCTCAGAGGGTTCTAGGACCTTATGGAGTCAAGGAGCATTTGCAAGATCCTGAAATAGGAACTCCGACATCCGAAAATCGGAAGCGCATCTGTTCAACCTGTCTCTCCCACACTGTTACCCATAGGCTCCTAAGTAGTGCATTTTTGCAGTTTATATTTAGAATCCCATAAGGTAGTCCCAAAAAGGAGCTACTTAGGGGCCTATGGGTCCACCCTGAATCCGACACCCCGAAGGCTCTTAGCCCTGAGCCATGCAATCCAACACCAATTTTCTAGCCTGTAGGATGAGAGACATTGCGCCTACTTACTTGGAGGTTCATGGATAGTTATAAGTGGGGTTATAAGTAGGGTAACTATCCATATTAGGGGACTTATAACCCTACTTCTAACTACCCATGAACCTCCAAGTACATATGACTTCAGTCTGTCCTGAGATCTTGTGTGGAGGATAAACCGGCACTCTGAAGTGGGCCAAGAGCTGATGTTCCCTAAACCCGAAGCCCCTAAACCCCTAAACCCTAAACCATGAAACATCAAAATACCAAACCCCAATCTGCATCTTCAGGGCCTGACATCCTAAACGTCCCAAGCTAGTTGGTTGAAGGTTTAGGGTGTAGGGTTTAGGTTTTTGGTTGGCTTTCGGGGTTAGGGTCTTTTAGGGTGTCGCCAGCCTGCACGCACGACTATGAGCGGAGGAGCTTGTATGCCTCAGGCAAGGCTCGCACGGTATAGGCAGGATTGACTGCTTTGGTTTCAGGGAGGATTGAGTAGGTGTGCATACACATGTGTGTAGCGAATGCTAGCGAGATCTGCGAAGCGTCTTCAGTGGCTTCTGGGGTAGACCCCAGGGACTTTCAGGGAGAATCCAGGGTTTTGGAGCGTCATGTTTTTTGTTCTTGTGATTGTGTTATGTGCTAGTGCTTGTATATGTTTGTGGCTGGTTTTTTGCCTTCCTTTTGATTTTTGCTTTGGGTTGTTTGGGAGTTTCACCAGGATCTAATACTAGCAACAATTGTACGGGCTTCCGGGTTTCGGGTTTAGGGTGTCGGGGCTCGTGGACGGAGACGTGTCGTCCCTGGTTCTCTTCTCATCTCGTGGTCTTAGACATGTACAGGTCGAGGAAGTAGGAGATGTTATATGTAGCTCGACATAAGCTTCAGGACTCTTGCTTGCAAGAGAACGACGGTACTTCCAGGATTCCAGCTGAAGCTTCGCTCAGGATCTATGCTCAGAACTTAGCCTATGGAGTATAACTTATACAACTGGAACCCAAATTTGGCTCATGGCCTAAACCGCACAAGCTGGCTTCACGTTTACAGCGATGCTAGGTTTAGGCTGATTCCTGGGCTCAAACCCGACGGCCTGAACCCTCCAACACCTGAAGGCTGTCACCATGCTTGACCAAGGAACAGCAGCCCAATGCCGCATTTTGAGGTCTGCGGGGAAATTCGTCTCGATGGCCTTCGACGTGTGCGCAAGCAGATTCGTGGCTCCCGGCTCTCAGGGTGCTCTGGGCTAGGGCTATACCCAGGGAGCCCAATGCTCCTGAATTAAGGAATCTATCTTAAATTGTAGGGACCTTAGTATTTTGGTTTAAGGCATAGTCTTTAATTAAGACGTATTGGGCTCTCTGGGTACTCAGTATGAGCTTATGAATCGTCCAGAGGTTCTGACTGTCAAGGTTCCGTGCCCCGAGCCCCTCAACACGACACCCCAAAAGGACTTGAAGGAGCCGAACTCCTACATCCCTGACACTCCAAGAATCCCCCAAGAATGTAGGATCTGTGACTTTGAAAACGTCATCTCTAAGCTTGATATTCCCAGGGAGCCCAATACTCCTCCTTAATTCACGAACATACCTTAAATGATAGGGACCTTAGTATTATGGTTTTAGGCATATTCCTTAACTAAGGGGTACTGGGCTCTCTGGGTTCCTGATTCCGACACTTGACTCCAGATTCAAGAAGTTAAAGGAAACTGCAGGTGGGGAGTTTAGGGTATATAGGGCTTCTATAAGGCTTCTATAAGGTATATAGACCTTCTCTAAGGCTCTTAGAACGGTAACTACCCACCTGAAAATGTCCTAGAAGAAGCTTGAACCTAAAACCGCAGATGCAGTAAGGTACATCGGGACTCTGGAGCCGTCAGCCGCAAGCCGCGAATTCTCAAATCCTCAGCCATATCCAAGGTCCCCCTGAGCTTCAACATCCCAGACTCCTAAAAGAGCGGCCTTAATAAATACAATACGGTTTTGAGGGTATAGTAAAGTGTAGATCTAATAAGCAGCGCCCAAAAATAGCATGGGCAATTTAAGTATTAAGGCCCTGTATTGCTAAGCATAAACCCTGTAGATACGAAGATTTCATAAGACCTATGTAAGCCCAATACGAGCCCTGAGCCCTGAAGCCCAAACCCCAAACCGAGCTCCGCGAGTGCCTCGAAGGTCTCATCATCAATCTCTATGCTTGTGTATTCTCTGATCGACTGGAGGATGGACATGATTTCCTTGAGCTGTTTGGGTAGGGTGCCAGAACTTGCTTTTTTGAGCTTTAGGGCTTTATGGCTTCAGGGTTCACTTTGTTGTTGTTAACGGTGTAGGGCTTTGGGGTGCAGACAAGATGGCTGACTCCAAGCCTACGACATGCTAAACCCTAAACCCTAAACCCAAAGTCCTATAAACCCTAAACCCTAAACCCCTAAACCCTAAGTTCAGGTCTCGGCCCCGGTCCTGAGCCCTAAGCCATAAACCTAGCCCAAAACCCAAAGCCCTAAACCTTAAGCCCTACACCGCAGCAGGGCTTTGCGTATTTGTGGCTTTGCCGCTCTTGGGTTTGGGGCTACCCTAGACCCTAAACCTTAAACCCAAACCCCAAACACTAAACCCTAAACCCCGAACCCTAGATCCCTACAAACCCTAAACCCCGTTGTTGGTTGGGATTTCGGGTTCGAAGGAACCCGGGAGGTCTTTTTGCAAAACGAGCAGACAGAAAGCCTGGGAGTCCAACCCTACGTTGAGGGTTGAGGGGCTTCGGGGTTATGGCTTAGGGTTTAGGTTTAGGGTTTAGGGTTTTGGGTTTTGGGATTCCAACCCTACCTTTAGAGTTTAGGGGCTTAGGGGTTTAGAGGCTTGGGGTTTATGTCTTTAGGGTTTAAGGATTTAGGGGTTTAGGGTTTAGGGTTTTGGGATTTAGGCTTTAGGGTTTAAGGGTTTAGGGGTTTAGGGTTTTAGGGTTTATGGGTTTAGGGTTTAAGGGCTTCGGGGTTTAGAGGGTTGGGGTTTATGGGTTTAGGGTTGAAGGATTTAGGGGTTTAGGGTTTAGGGTTTTGGGATTTAGGCTTTAGGGTTTAAGGGTTTAGGGGCTTGGGGTTTAGGGTTTTTGGAGTTTGTGTGTTTAGGGTTTAAGGATTTAGGGGTTTAGGGTTTGGGGATTTAGGCTTTAGGGTTTAAGGGTTTAGGGGCTTTGGGTTTAGGGTTTTTGGGTTTAGGGGTTTAGGGGTTTAGGGTTTAAGGGTTTAGAGGCTTGGCGTTTATGGGTTTAGGGGCTTAGGGTTTTAGGGTTTAGGAGCTTCGGGGTTAGGGTTTTTGGGATGTGTTGGTACATTTATACTTCTTCCAAGGCATTCTCAGGAAGACGATTTCCGCTATGTTACCCTGAACCGCTTTGAGGGTTCCTGAACCACCCTAGTCCAAGCTTGAGCCCAGGATTTCAACAACCAGTGCTCGAAGGAAACTTGCGCAGCGCGCAGGGAAGACAGGCATCCCTTTCCCCCTGTGCCGCCAAACCAAACCTGCGGAACTCCAGAACGACAAACAAGAAAGCTCAGCGAGCAAAAATGAATGAAGCCAAGGTGCTGTTTCGCTATTGATGTAGGTCTCTGTCAACCGCGTCTCACCAAAAGAACCCATCCTTGGCGAAATCTGCTTGGGGTCTAGCGCGAAGTAGCTTCGAGGCATCACGGCTATAAACAGCTTGCAACTTGAGTGATAGCTTCGTGAGCTTTCGGCCTCATCACCTCTTCTTCGTACGACTCACTACTTCTCCTACTGCTCCTGCTGCTCGTGAGTACTACTATACACCGTCGATCGAATAATGCTAGTGAGATGAGTGTGCAGGGTCTTCATCAGGACTGCTATGGTTGAGCTTGAGGTGAAGAATGCTGTCCATGCGACGGTGGCACTGCTCGAGGTGATACCCTGCTGATGGGGTTCTGCTGTTAGCTGCTGGCGGTGCCGGCGGTGATGGCCGTGGCGGTGATGCTTGCGCTGGTGCTGGTTGGGCTGGTGTTGGTGGCTGATGCTGGTGGTGAAGGTGGTGCTTTTTCCTCTGCGCTTCCCTATCACTACTAATCTATCTGATCTGGCCTCACGAGCTCTTTTCGGCTGGGCATTGAGGAGCTGCGTGGTTACCTTCTCCGAGTCGTCGGCCCACGTCCTACCAGCCATGGTCTCCGTGGTCTCAGCCACATCGAGCCAGCTCCAAGAGCTCTAGAAGGGCCTTGGTTCCTGAGTAGCCTTTTTTATAATAAGGGTACTCTTTTTCCTACCATTCGGTTTGAAAAGGGGGCCCTAAACAAAAAGGGCAAAAGGGTACCACTCAGGGACCTAGGGGCTCAGTCCACGGGATCGAAGTCCATGGCCTTGATGTCTTCAAGGGCCAAGGCCCTTCTCACCGCCTCCTCCAGCTGCGGGTCTCCAGGGACCGGCAGCGAAAAGCTGGGGAGGAGGTCCAGGGAACCGAGGTGCAAGGCACCCAGGGAGGGGTCGGGAGGGCGATCTTCTGGGGAGTCGAGCACCGGGCTCTCCACATCCACGACCAGAGGGGCAGCCGGGCCCTCATGGATGAGCTGGAAGTAGTAGGCTTCACGGCCCTGGAAGGAATACTTCTGCAAGTTCAGCCGGCCATCTTTATCTACACAAACGTAGAGGCCTGGACGATCGGCGAGCATCAGGCAAACAAAGCGCCCAGAAAGCTCGTCAAGGAGTCCGTCCTGCTCAGGGATGCGAAGCTCAAACGTAGCTCCAGCGCGAAGCACTTCGGAGCCGTCATAGCGACAAAGCGACACATAACCTATACTGCACTTGGCACCCTCGCAAAAAAAAATCGTGATTTCAGCGGTCTCTTATTGGGGATTTTAATTATAGTAACTAGAAATCGACAAAAAATGCTTCCAAGTGCCCGTAAGCAACTAGCTCGGGGAGGTCCCTCTTGGGCTGCCATATAGTCCAAGGCCCGGTTCAACGAGCGAAAAGAGCAGCGCCCGGGTCTCTGGGGCGGTGGCCCAGGGTAGCGCGAGCGATACCAAAACCCATCTTCCAAGGCGAAAGGCTCTGCCTGAGTAGGAGACGAATATCATAGCCTATACCACAACTATTTATGTCATATAAGGCAACGTTAACTAGTAAAAGCATTGATACGTGGAATAGAGTATCGAAGTATGTTGTTACGTCATATACTATTTTCTGTTACAATATGTTAAGGAACCCCCTAAAATAGAATGATAGGAGTAGTCTTCTAAATTAGGGTCCCTTTTAGGGTCTTTTTGTATATGGGGGACCTAAAACGGGACCCTAATTTAGAGAACCACCCTTATGAGTAGTCATAGGCCGCTAAGTAGCTCCTGTTTGTGGTTTATATTTAGAACCCTATAAGGTAATCCCAGAACTACTTAGGGCCTGTGGGTCTTTTTTATAATTTTACGAAAGCATAGTACCAAATGCTATTCTACTATACTATGTTATATTACCTTACAGGATTCTTGATATAGACCACAAAAAGGAACTATAGGGGCCTATGAGTAGTCATGCCCAAGCTCCGAATCTCGAGCTTCCTCAGCCAGGAGCACGGAGCCCCGAGCTCCCACGGAGGCCTTCAAGGACAAGGATTTCCTGGGCCGTTCTGCTTGGAGGCCCCTGTAGAAAGGATACTTCGACTCCTTCTGAAGAACATGTTATGCTATACCAGACTTACCCCAAAAAGGTGGGGGAAGCAATTTTCAAGAACATGGTGGACTCCTGACCCTAAACCCAAAACCCCTAAACCCTCAACCTAAACCCTAAACCCTAAACATCCCTAAACCCTAAACATCCCTAAACCCTAAACCCTGAATAAAGCCATGCTCAAGGCCGGCCGGGCTTCAAGTAGCAGACTTTGCCCAAGAAGGGCTGAGGGTCCAAGGCTTCGGGGGGGCCAAGGTCGATGCCATCATCGTGGCTTACGTCTAACTTTGCTGCGGAGGCGCCCATCAGCTGAGCCGAGATGACGCCCCATGAATCCGGTGGAAACAATTTAAGTGGGCCTTTAGGGTTCAGGGTTCATGCAGGTCTATGGTTTCGGGAGTATAGGGGTTAATTATAGATTAAGGGTTGAGGGTTTACGGAAGTTCGAGGATCGAAGGCTAGGGAGCTGTTCAGGTTTGTGATTACCCATAGGCTCCTAAGTAGTTCCTTTTTGGGATTACCTTATAGGATTCTAAATATAAACTGCAAAAAGGCACTACTTAGGAGCCTTTGGGTAACAGTGTGGGAGAGACAGATTGAACAGATGCGCTTCCGATTTTCGGATGTCGGAGTTCCTGTTTCAGAATCTTGCGAATGCTCCTTGACTCCGTAAGGTCCTAGAACCCTCTGAACCCCAACTCCGAATTCTATAAGCCCTCACCAGCCCTAACCGTAGAGCCTAAGCCCTAAACTTCCACACCCTTTGTCTAATGCAGGGGCCTAAATACTTAGAATAGGGTTTTTGGGGATTCCTTAGTATAACTATACCATAATGGGCCCCAAACCCCATTCTAA